CTCCTGGAGCAGGCTGAGGAACAAGTGAAAAACAGAGAAGTTCTTATGCTACACCACAGGGATTTAATGTAAAAGAGAAACCAGCCATTCACAGAGAATCAAGACAATACAAAGGGAGTACAAGCGTGATGCAGGTATCGTGCTCTGATACCAGCACTCTGCGCAGGACCCACAGGACATTCGAGGTGATAGAGGGATGCAGGAGATATCCGGGCTCAGCTGTGCAGCCACGGCACACCGTGGCACAGGGCAGTGGGCTGCTGGGCATACACAGCCTCCTCAAGTCCCATGCCAGAGCACCTGATGCATGCTGCTAGTCCCATGCCTCTTGCTCCACATCCTGGAGCCCTGGTCCTTGCTTCAGGGCTGTTGCTGGTTCTAGGCACCATCCTGTGGGCTTTAGAAAGCCTCGCAGCTCCCACGGTGGGACCTGCCCTGCTTCTGGGTGCCTGGGAGGTAATAGCCAGTGCCACGGGAGGAGAAGCCAGAGCTGTAGGACCTCCCACAGCTGCCAAAGCCACTGGACCCATATTGGCCACCATAGCCCAGGGAACCCCCATAGCCCAAGTCAGCTCCACAACCTAGGGAATGGCCATACCCAAGTGAGCCTCCATAGCCTCCCAAGCCAAAGGAGCTCCCATAGCCCCGGGAGCTCCCATAACCCAGGGAGCTACCATAGCCTCCCCAACCAAAGGAGCCCTCATTGCCCCGTGAACCTCCATAACCCCCCAAGCCCAGGGACCCTCCATAGCGCCCTAAACCAAAGGAGCCCCCATAGCCTCCCAAGCCCAGGGAGCTTCCATAACCTCGGGAGCCCCCATAGCCCAAGGAGCCTCCATAGCCCCCCACACCCAGAGAGCCCCCATAGCCCCCAGAGCTTTGGGAACTGAAGGACCTCCCCAAGAGGGCTGGGCCTGATGATCCCACAGTGCTCTCCTGAGGAAAAGAGCTGAGTATGGGGCCGGGGAGTGTCACCACAGCCGGTGGGGGGAAGATCACTGCTCTGGAGTCAGGACACTGCTGCACACAAGGCTCATTGTAGCTCTCGGCAATGGGCTGAGGGCAGGTCACCTCACAGGGTCTGCAGGACTCACTGTAGCAAGACATCCTTCTGGTGTTGGCTCTGAGTCTGCAATAAGGAGTTTTAAGGTAAATGAACAAATACTAGAACTGAGTGGGAGGAGATGAACCATTATCACTAAGCAATGATTTTGTGTTTGAAATATTGGAAGTTAACAGCTAAACGGATAAATTTATACATGCTAAAAAATTTAAACGCATTCTCGTATCAACTCAACCTTTATCCTTTCTTTCATCTCATCACAATCACCTTTGCAAAAAATTTAATATGAAACACAAATTTGATACTGGATAAATTGGATGGACAGATCTGTCTGTAGAAACTTGGACCGGCAAGGATGTGCCTACAAAGTATAAGAACCAGTGAAAAAGGAGCCAACAGGAATAGGAGAAAAAGCTCATTGGCTATATGTATTAATTCAGACTTCATCATGTGTAAGTCACCCCAAGTATTTCTATAGCTTGAGAACTATTTCCTATCCTAATGCTGTCACTCCTGATGCTGCATCTGGACAAAGACACTTTTTCAGAAGGAAATAAAGGATCTAAGTCTGAAAAAAACCATGCAGGAATCAT